TTATGTAGAATAATATTTTGTGGAGTTAGGGATATTAATAGTAGTTTACTTTTAGTTGAATAGTATCCTGGGATTAGGTTTGGGAAGTCCGGGGGGTGGGGGGTGGGGGATGGGGTTTTTATTATAGCATTGTGATGTACTTGTGATGTGTTCTTTTTTATGATGAAAATAATAAAAAATTTATACTTGAAAAAAAAAAAATTTAAACCATGTTATATAAAAGAGTTCCATGCCTCAAACCCCCAACAACCTTTCTAGAAGAGGGAAATTTTGTTTCTAGATGCTTGGTGCCAATGAAAGTGAATCATAGATTTATAATGCGACTTTAGGCAAGCCTAAAATTAAGATAAGAATTATTTTGATGGATGTCAGCATGTTTATGATATTACAACTGATAAATCATTTGATTTCCAGCCATGTGGAGACAAAAAAAATGAATGCAAATCTCTTTTGCAGAAACAAATATTACTTACTTATCTTCATTAAAATAAGGCAGCTGTTACAGAAATTACTTTACTATATTATAAGATAGGAAGTTGCAGAAGTTGCATACAGGAATCTGATAAAATAAATTTTCATTGAAAAGAAAATGATCTCAGCCTACTAAACTTCAAGATTTTAACTTTGAAACCTCCATTCCTGATAATGTCCTGAAGGCATATTTGTCTAAAATGGACAAGTTTTAAGGACAGAAAAGAGCCAGATCACAATAAAACTTGCAAGATGCAACTTATTAATAAGCAGGATGTCACACGTGCCGAAAAGATTAGCATCTGATGTTATGAAATAAATGTTTGCTTGCACAATAAAGTGTATTTTCTCCTTTTTACTTACATGCCTCAATGGAATATAACTGAGGCACTGCAGGAGAAAGAAATCAATAGACAGAGGAGATACTCTTGCAACAGCTGACAATATGGAATTGAATATATTTGTCGTGAGTCCTCGCCTGCCAGCGGATCCGGCAGCCAAGTCAGATGAATTGGATGAGGGGGAAGGGTTGCCTGGGTTCACATCGGAGTCTGTGGAAGGCTCTGAGGAGCAAGAAGACTCAGAGCTAGATATGACACCAGGCCCATCTACTCACACTCAGGCAGAGAAACAGCTGGGTTGGGGGCCTGAACTTAGAGAAGAGGAGGAAGAGCTGGTGCCTGTTCCAGATGCACAGATGTGCAGAGAGGAAAGACGTGTGGGACAATAGAGGGCGGTGGGGCGGCTCTCCAGGAAAAGTAAAAGATTCTAAGAAGCCGTGCCCTGGCTGGACTATAAAGAGGAGAGGCATGGGAGGGGCTAGTTGCCGAAGGCTATGGCTTCATGCTATGGCTTTGTGCTTCTGTCATTGGATTTCTTGCCTCAGGATTCTTGGATATTTAACCAGGTTTGTCGGATTTCTGTATGTTTGAGTGACTTGAACATTGAGCTTTCCTGATGAGAACTAGGAGACTGATCTTGTTCGTTTTTACAGCTAAAGGACTGGTTGGAGTTTGTTCCATAAAAGTTGTGTCAAAATAAAAGGGGTTTACTTTCTGACAAAGTCCTGCCTTGTTCAATGCAAAGGGGTTTTCCTCACAAGTAAACAGTGGAGCAGTACTCGCGTAGGCTGGGACAGAACAATATTGCTATATTGCTTTGTTCCTGTCTGTTGCAGATCTTATCTGGATAGCTGAAGGAATCTTCTCAATAGTGAGGGATGTGAATCAGAAGACTGAAATCTGCCAAGATCACATCTCCTACCCTTCCAGGCAACAGGAATTCTTGATCATGGATGTCTCACCAGCAGAATAAAATGAAAGAAAAGAGGGAACAATTAGATGCTCTTACCAGACAAGCAACAAGAACAGAATCACTGTTATTTCTTTCACCTGGAGATCTGCAAAGTTGTATGAGACGTGGAATACCTAAAAATGATTTGAAAAGAACATTGATCAACAATTTATTCTAGGTGGTATATTTTCTAGATTTATCCATTTCAGTGAAAATGTTGTAATGCCATAAAAAGTGATGCTAAAAAAAAAACAGGAAAGGAAAAATACTACTTCTTTTTACATAGCTCAAATTATAAGCACTAAGAGAATTCATAATTCTCTTTGCAAAGCCAGCGAATCTTTACCCAGGCATATTGGACTTAGTTTATTTAATGATGAATGCCATTTTAAGGGATTCTTCCCCCCCCCCCCATTCACACCTTTGAAAGCTAGTACTGAGTTTTCTGTGAACAATGTTGTATCGTTTTCTTAGGCATCTGGGTTAGCATGCACAAGTGCATTGTCATGATCAACTTCATTCAAAGTTACGAGGACCTCCCCAGGACTGCTTATGATGGCTGCCCCAACCCTAACTGCTCTTTAGGTGCTCTTCAATTGGCTGTATTTCGGCCAAGTTTTATAGTGTTTTTGCTGAAAAACGGGATTTTCTACAAAACCAGTCCATAGCAAACAGTTTGTTTACTTAATGACCACCACAAAAAAAGTTATAAAATCAGGTTGGACCACTTTACGACTGTCCAACTTACAACTGTAATGGGAAAGCTCCATTACAGTCATAAATCAAGGATTATCTGTACTGTTAACTGAACTCCATGCTGCCAATTGGGGCAATCATTGATTGATTTGTAAAATCAGAAATCTTTAAAAAATGAATGACCAGTTCTGGAAAATAGACTGGTTCTTAGTTGACATGCAGTGGAGAAAAGTAGCATTCAACAAACAATGGGCTAAATAATGTCCCTTTGATGTATAAAATCATTTAAATACGTACAGTTGAGTTTTATGGCTGAATGAGCTACTTCAGGATCACGGCTAAGCCGGGCGAGTGTCACTGCGGCTTTTTGTTGAACTTGTTCACAAGCAGCTCTCTCGGGTGAATTCCCAAATGATGATTTTTCAGATAGCATTTCCATTAAAACTTGAATACCTACAAAAGTGTAAAATATTGCTGACAATTATCCACAAACACAGTTAAAAGAATTGTTGGTACAAAAGTTATAGTTGAAGATGAAGCCAAGCCAGCATAATTGCAGGGGACAAAGCTAAATGCCAAATGTCCTCAACACTGCTCTTTCAAATTCTACCTAAAGGTATAATCCCCCATCATTATTCCAAATACAAAAAGGAGAAGTGGTAATTTTAAGAAAGTAACTTACTTAACCAGCATAGATTTAGCTGTTTCTATTGTCAATCCTCTGCTATGGGATGAGAATGGCATCCTCATTTCCCATTTAGGAAAGGATGACCTCCACCAGTAATGTCACAAGCAAGAGGTAAAAATCATCCATCAATAGCACTGGTTACAGTTATGACAAACGGTTAGAATTTCAGTGTAATTATTTGTCAGAACTCATCCCCTCTTTCACCTCCCACTTCTCCTAGCCTCAAGAACATCTCTTCTAGGCTAGAAGAGAAGGCAGGCAAGGAGGAGAAACAGCACTTTTACTGGAGTTGATCCCTGGTTTGGAAACCCAGATAAGCCCTAGTTCAGGGGGTCTTCAAACGTGGCCCTTTTATGACTTGTGGACTTCAACTCCCAGAATTCCTCAGCCAGCATGCCTGGCTGAGGAATTCTGGGAATTGAAGTCCACAAGTCATAAAAGGGCCACGTTTGAAGACCCCTGCCCTAGTCGCTGACAGTCCAACAACATCAAGCTGCTTCTCTCTGCCATTTCACCAGGCAACAATCACAGAAAGATGGTCAACTGTTGTCAGAGCAACTTTTGGGTGTAAGAGAGCACTTAAATCTCCAGAAGAATGTTAAGTCTATGTTCAAAAGCAGCTTGAATGTCAGTATATGAGGAATTCTACAGTGAAGCAGTAGAGAGAGATGGCTCTTTCTCTGTTTCTTCACTGGCACGCTTCCCAAAATAGGGAGATATAACAATATCAGCATTCCATATCTGAAATAGGAAAAAGAAAGCCATGATTTTAAAATTGCAAGGTCCCGCCTGCAGGTATTTCAGAAAGAAAATGACATAAACTTGAATCCTGACACATTTTTGGTCAGGATTCTGAGATTTGGAGAGGTGAAAATGCAGAATTTTGTCTCAAAATCATATAAATTTAGATCTTTAGTAATCCTAGTGTTACCTTAAATGCTGTTTAGCTAAATAAAGGATGCCATTTCAATTTTATTTTCACATGCATAAATCTTTTGTGCATTTGTCAAAACATACATACCATTTTGTTGGATTATTTCTGAAGCACACTGGTCCAGGACAGACAGGTTTGCTAATACTGTTACAATCTAAATTAAAAGGAGGCAACAGTTTGGAATTTTACATTATACAACTGTTATTATAATGACTTATAAATCATTGATCAGCTACTTGGGAAATGACTCCTCCCCTTAGATCTGTTGTGCTTTTTGGCATTGCACAAATGCTTCTATTCTTATTCTGATATTCCCATGACCTGTAATTGTGCAAGTATGATAGGCCTTTGTTGGACACAAATTCAGAAAATCAAAAGGTTTTGATTTGTGTCAGAAGGTTTTAGGAATCTACATAATATTTTATTTTAAAGACTGTAGGCAGGGATAAGCAGCCAAAACACTGCATACTGGTCTTCACTTCAGGCCCACATTTCCCCAGCATTTCACTGGGAAATCTGCAGGCAAAAAATGGTTGAATCTTAACACAAATATAAAAAAAAATCTCAGACTGTAAAATATGATGCAACTATTTTGTGTAAAGACGCTTTTAAAAGGATGAGGGGAAATTGTATAACCCACTTTAATGACATAGTGTACTGTAACTGCATGATCACCATACTTTCTGCAGCTCTCAAGACTAAAAATATTAATAACAGCAGAACAACAGTAAAAATAGTGGCCTTGACTCCCAAAAGTACTCCAGTCCTATGTTGGAGGCTGAATTTTGTTTTGTTTTCCTCAGCTTAAATTTCTGTAATTCTCACATCAGAGATTTCTGCAGAGGCGGTAGGGATATGTCAATATGGCAGTTTTAATTACGCAATTATGACCATCATTTTAACTTTGCTTATCCTGTGCAGGTGCTGCTCATTCATACAACCCTTTCAGCATGAACAACATATAAATATGAAAAAAAAACAACTATGCAACTGAAGAAATTACTGTATTTTTTATTCATTTTGTTTTTAATAGTTGGAGCCTATTGCCTAAGATGGAAGACATTCTTATCAGAAACTTTATGAATAGAAAAGGGAGGAACATCTTTTGCTAATTTCTCTTCAACATCTTCCATTTCCCCCTAAACTAGCTTCCCATTGAGGATTCTTGTGAAATGTCATAGAACATGCACAGAGACTAGAGAAGACAAAGAGGATTAGAAAATTGATGTCCTTCCTGCTTCCATTCATGGAGACCTTTCTGGAAGAACCTGCCTGGAATAAAAGAACAATACTAACCCAAGAACCAGAGAATATGGCGTTCTGGATTCTTTTCAGTGCCCACTGCATTGACACATTAAATAAATTATAAATATTGTTACAAAGGCATTATTATACATTAAAAAAAGTAAGACCTAGTCTAAAGAAAAGAAGAAACAGGGGCGACGTGATAGCAGTATTCCAGTATTTGAGGGGCTGCTACAAAGGTGAGGGGTCCCGTTATTCTCCAAAGCACCAGAAGGCAGGACAAGAAACAATGGTTGGAAACTGACCTAAGAGAGAAGCAACCTGGAATTAAGGGAAACTTCCTGACAGTGAGGACAATTAACCAGTGGAACAGCTTGCCTCCAGAAATCGTGGGTGCTCCATCACTGAAGATTTTTAAGAAGAGGCTAGACAGTCATTTGTCTGAGATGGTATAGGTTCTCCTGCTTAAGTGGGGGACTGGACTAGAAGACCTCCAAGATCCCTTCCAGCTCTATTCTATTCTAATTCTAATAATCAAAGAGAGATAAATACAGATATGCTGCTGTAGGAAATCTGTTCACAAGATGTCTATGGAGATTCTCAGTCGTCCAGGTCATGGTTGTCCCAAGAGTACTTTTTCAAGAGGCAACTGGACTTCCTTGTTTTTCTTTGAAGATGTTTCGCTTCTCATCCAAGAAGCTTCTTCAGCTCTAACTGAATGATGAGGAATGGAAGGATTTATATTTATATTACATCCAGTCAGAGCTGAAGAAACTTCTTGGATGAGAAGCAAAAAGTCTACAAAGAAAGTCCAATTGCCTCTTGAAAAAGCACCTTTGGTATATTCACAAGATGGAAGCACTTGCATAAAGCCAGATTAGTTTTTGAGTTCAACCAAACCACCCTCAGTAATAGAAACAATATACCAAAGACAAGTTGTCTTTCCTTTGGCTTCCTTTTCCCATTGCCTCCTTCCTAGGGCTGAGAGAAATAAATGTATGATATATCAAAAGTCAGGCCCCATAGGCTAATCCCAATATGTTTTATTAGTTAATTGTTCTTTTTTTTCCAGAGAAGTTGTTACTGTACTTAGGGAAGTTCAAAGGTGTCTCAATTTAAATGGTGGTTTATTTCATCTACATTAGCCCTTTTATTTTCCTTAATATAATTTATTCTTATTCATATATGAAATATATAGCTTGTCTTTCTTTCACCACCATTACTTGATATACCTGGCATGCCATTCCTCCTATTTTACTTAGAACAAAAATTGTGTAAAGTAGGTTAGTAGTGAGAAAATGATTTTCCAAAGTAATCCATTGAGCTTCCATGTCTGAGGATGGACTTGAATATGTGTGTCCCTGGTCCTACTTTAACATTACTGTGCTAACTATCTCAAATTCTCCTCCTTCAGTCTCTGTTTGTACATTTGGGTCAGTTTTTGACTCCTAGTGACTACCTTGACTGGTTCCTGAAGATTTCTTGGCAAGTTTTCTTGGAAATGATTTGCCCTTGCCTGCTTCCTAATTCTGAGAGACAGGGATTGGCCCAAAGTCACCCAGCAGATTCGGGTGCCTAAGGTATGACTCGAACTCTCCATCTCCCAGTTTCTAGCTTGATGCCTTAACTACTACACCATACTGGCTCCTCATCAGTCTAAGTCTTTCTTTAATTGAAACTACCAGCATGAGATATGACAGTCTCCAGTGTCCAAATATTCCCATAATACGTTACTTGGCAATCCTAGACTTGCCTATTGTTCCAATTTCAAAATACCTTGATCTAGGAACCCACTTTACCCTCAATTAATTCCTTAGAATTTTTTTATCAATTTGTTGGAATGTTTAAGCATTCATTGTGCTTGAGGGTCATTAGTTTTTTTTGTCAGTCACAGTACATTCAAAAACCTCTGATTAATCTACTCTTTGCACCCTGAAATGTTGTGCTTCATTTGGGGTTGGGCCTTTCTGCGAAACAAATAAGCAATGACAATACAATAGGTGTACAAGAATAATTTTAGTGAACGATAAGCAGAAGTATAAACTTTTAGCAACCAGGTCTCCAAGCAACCATATTATAAGTTTTAGTGTCCAGAATAAAAAAAAAATACAATGTCTTTTCTGCAGCAAGAAGACAGAGGCTTGCAGAGATTTCTTTTGCTTTTAGCTGATACTGCGCATAAAAAAATAATCTTTCAAAGGGTTTGCAAAGACAGGAGGAAGCAGCTATAGCATGGAGAAAATTAAGCAAAAGAAAAATTAAGCAAATAGACAAGAGATATGAGAAAAAACACAAAAGAGGGAAGATATATCAGAAAAGCTTTTGAAAATGAGAAAAGTGCTCTTTTTCCTTAGAGGTGCACTTATGCAGAAAACTGAAGAAAAAGACTTAAATGTGGGAAATAACAACTTAGCAGAATTGAAAACGATAGTATTTAGGGTCTCTGAGGGAGAGAATGAGAAAAGGGGAGAAAGTGCAGGAAACAGTGAAGAAAAACATTTGGAAATTGAAAAAGTAATGGGATTTTCTTTCATCCTTACAATCTCTCTTTTTAAAGAACTACCCCAGTTTTCTGGTGGTCAGCAAATTACACTGTAGGGTATTATGTTAATTAATTTTTAATATTCACAGGAAAACAGTTTTTGTGCACTTTTATTATGATTGCTGACGTGAGTAGGAAAAAAAATGAATCCTAAAACAAAAAATATAGCATCATCTCATTAGGTGGCAAAGTACCTAAACATGAAAGTGCCAATAGTCATTCATGATGACCTAGATATGCTATGAAACACATTCATTTTCTTTTATATCACTTGATGGTAGAGATTTGCATTGTTGTGGCTTGGTTGCCAAAGACTACGAGGGATCATTATTTGCATCTAGAAATAGCTGAACTTTGCTGCCATAGTTCCATTAGAGAGAGAGAGAGAGGGAGATTCAATTAACTGCTTTTATCAATGCAATGGATTCTGTCAACAAAGCAGGGGAAAAGGGGAATTCCCCCCTTCCTCTAATGCTCCTCTTGAGCTCTGCAAATCTGTATGAGTGGACGAGAATATTTCAGGGATGAAGAGAAGGGAAATTCCTACAGCACAAAGGAAAAGCCACTCCTGGCCTTAGATTTATCTGAGAAAGACAAAGCTTTCTTTTTAAGGAGGAAAAAAAAATCCATTTATTTGCTTAATGATCTTTCCTCACAGCAAATAAAGATAGGGAATTGATGATCTCACTAAAGATCGTTGCTGTTAAGTCGTGTCCAACTCTTTGTGACCCCATGGACCATAGCACACTAGGCTCCTCTGTCCTCTACTCTCTTGCTGAGTCTGCCCAAACTCATGCCCATTGCTTCAATGGAACTGTCTAACCATCTCATCCTCTGCTGTCTCCTTCTCCTTTTGCCTTCAATTTTTCTCAACTTCAGAGTCTTCTCCAGTGAGTCCTCTCTTCTCATTTGGCGGTCAAAGTATTTGAGTTTCAGCTTCAATATCTGTCCTTCCAAAGAACAGTCAGAGTTGATTTCCTTTATGACTAACTGATTTTATCTCCTAACAGTCCAAGGGACTCTCAAGAGTTTTCTCCAAGATCACTAAAGATATCTAAGGGTAAAATAATCAGACTCTACTTAGTTATTCCTTGAAGAGTCCTCTGTAAAACTGCATATATGCATTCATTTATATGAAAATGTGAACAAAGGAAGAATCAAGTTCTTATATCTGGAAGCTTCTTATATGTTTGTAAACAAAACAGTTGATAGCATCTAAAGATACAAACAAGGGACCAATTGATATACTACACTAATTAGAATAAGAAGGTGGATTCCACATTGCTAGGGTTATTAAAAGCCAACCTTCCAAACTCTTTCCTGCATTTATTTTTATATCCATAATGAACTGGTGTACCACTTTTTAATTTCTTAAGTATTTTTGAGAAATTTAATTACACAATTCATCATCTTCAGCTTTGTTAACAGAGACAAACTGATTACCTCATTTCTTACTCTGTTCCTGAAGTTATTTTTTAAATGTAAGTCCAGTCACTTTGTAAATGACTGTCACACATGCCAGGATATATTATTATGCAAAGCATTCAAGAGAAATAACAAAAAAGAACTTCAGCCATGCAGTGACGTTTGCAAAACAAAACTAAACAAAAAAAGAGTATTGTTTCTGGACATAACTCAAGCTCTTAGTCTCCAAATGCCATATAT